ACAGCACCACACACCACAACACAACTCAACACAACACAACACACCTCAACACAACACAACATAACACAGCACAGCACAACACAACACAACGCAACACAACACAGCACAACATAACACAACACAGCACAACACACCACACCACAGCACAACACAACACAACACAACAACAACACAGCACACCACAGCACAATACAACACAACGCAACACAACACAGCACAACATAACACAACACAGCACAACACACCACACCACAACACAACACAACACAACACAACAACAACACAACACACCACAGCACAATACAACACAGCACAACACAACACAGCACATCACAACACAAGCACAGCACATCACAGCACATCACAAACCAACACAACACAGCACAACACAACACAAGCACAAGCATAATCACAAACATATCACAGCACAGCACAGCACAGCATAGCACTGCACAGCACAGCACAACGCACCAACGCACAACACAGTACAATACAACACAGCACAACGCAACACAACATAACACACAATCCCGCTCACTCTCTCTCTCTCTCTATCTCGCACACGCACGCTCTGCAATTTAGTTCTCTTCCACGCGCACACACTATCTCCCTCGGACACGCACACACACACTCTCTCTATATCTCGCTCAGTCTCCCCCTCTCTCTCACACGCTCTCGCTTTCTCTCTCTGTCTCTCTCGCCCCTCTCTCCCTCTCTCTTTCTCTCTTTCTCTCCCTCCTTCACCCACGCGCTCAAACACGTGCGGAGTAATGTCGGCGGCGTCACGCACGCACATGCGCAACCGCACGCGCACACACAAACACACACGCGCGCACACACGCACGCACGCACGCACTCACGCACACACGCACACACACACGCACGCACGCACGCAAGCACGCACTCACGCACGCACGCACGCGCGCGCGCACGCACGCACGCACGCACACACGCACACACGCACACACGCACACACGCACACACGCATACACGCACAAACCCACACCCACACCCACACCCACACCCACACCCACACCCACACCCACACCCACACCCACACCCACACCCACACCCACACCCACACCCGCACCCGCACCCGCACCCGCATCCGCACGCGCGCGCACGCGCACGCGCACGCACGCACACGCGCGCGCGCACACGCGCACACGCGCGCACGCGCGCACGCGCGCACGCACGCACGCACGCACGTACGCACGCACCCACACACTCACACACACCCACAACACACAGCACACAACACAGCAACACACACCACACAACACACAACACAGAACACAGGACACACAACACACAGGACACAACACACAACACACAGCACACAACACACAACAGACAACACACAACACACAACACACACCACACAACACACAACACACAACACAGCACACAAACACACACGCACACATGCACGCACGCACGCACACGCACGCACGCACGCACACGCACATGCACACGCACACACACACACGCACACGCACACGCACACGCACACGCACGCGCAGACGCACACGCACACGCACATGCACACGTACATGCACACGCACGCGCACGCGCACGCGCACACGCACGCGCTCGTGCACGCGCGCACATGCGCACATGCGCACGCGCGCACGCGCGCACACGCGCACCCGCGCACCCGCGCACCCGCGCACACGCGCACCCGCGCACACGCGCTCCCGCGCACACGCGGTTACGCGCACACTTTTTTGTTTACCGACCGCTAGCGGGCAGCCGCGCGGCGTCCGTAAGTCAAACGACAGCCAGGCCCACGTACCACAGGACAAGAGCCTAAACTACAGCTGGCAAGCGCAGGAAAGGGGCGAGGCCGAAACGGGCGAGGGCGACGAAGGAGGAGAAGCAGGAGACTAACGCAGCGCCGCTCAGAGGCGCGAGATCGAGCCCGGGACCACCAGGAGCACGTCGTTCTCAAGATACAAGCTCAGCGCCAGAAGCCAGTGTGTGCACTGAATCCCGCGTACACCAGATGCCAAGCGTCGAGAGTCGTGAGCCCGCCAGGAACGAGCATGGAGTACCGCGACCATGAACCAGCGGTCAGGAGAACCAAGCGAGGCCCGCGCCAACGGAAAACATGCCCAGGAAGAACACGAAGCGCCAGCCGCTGGCCGAACCGAAGTATCGGAAGTTGCCCACCCAGCCCGTCCTCCGAGGCCGACGCGGGAAAGCCAACGTAGAGCGGGACCTGTAGGCTCTCGCGCCCCGGGGGGGGGCGCGGAGGGCCCGTGGCGTCCTGCAGAGGGGGGGCGGCTAACAGCCGCGGAAACTCGTGATGTTCTTGCGGGACCCGCAGGTCCGCGCGCCGCGGGGGGGGCACGGAGGGCCTGAGCACCTGTAGAGGAGGGGCGGCTAACAGTCGCGGATATTTGTGATGAGCGAATGGGTCGCAGCTAACAGCCGCAGAGAAGGGGTGCACAAGTGGGGCGGGGCCTCTGCGAACAGCCAGGGCCAGCGACGCCGAACT